TTTCCAACAGGGACGGATAGTACGAAATACCCGTACTGCATGTGCCAGGTGACGAGTTGCGAGGGCGCTTTCCCATGTGACGCTGCTCTAGTCTTCGTGCTGGGCTGTGTAGACCTGTTCTACCTGGAATCCGTGATCCTAACTGAATGAGTGGGTGCATACAGGCGTGACAGTCTAACTTGTCAGTTGACACATACGTCATGCGTTTCTTGCTTTTTTTATCAGCAAGGAATAATTACATGTATTACAGCAGTGGCACAGCATATGTACAGTCATGTAGATGACAGTTGATGTCACTTTGGTTTGTTCGAAGTGGTACGGCGCTGGAGGATAAACAATATCTGATGACACTAGTCAATAGCCGAGTAGCAACTCTATCAAACCTAATAAGTTGCTGCACAAAGTGGTACGAGCCGGTCAATATGTGTTCCGCATCTGATAATTACCTCTGGCCGTCAGCGAAGCCATCTGGTTATAGAGATCACGTGACGTGAATAGTGAAGATTGTTGCATCAACATCAACATCAATATTGCAATTGCAGTGTCAGGGGAAAAAGTGGCAAACACGCATGCTGATGAGAAGATGAAACCGGCCAACGTGCTATAAGCCGGATGATTTCGCTAAGAATTTCAGTTCATTCTTTGCAAGCAAAATCAAGAGATCAAAAAGATCGAGCCTCTAAGAACGAAACTATAAGATGATCAAGGAAATCCTAGTGCTTGCTCTTGTGGCAAGTGTAGCCACAGCAATGAAAAGTCCCGCTGTTCTTGAAAGTGAAGAGCACCCACTGCAAGGCTTTAGCTGTGGTGCTGACTCAACCCTTGGTGAATGCCTGGGTGAGCTGAAAATAGCGCTGACTGATCTACGACAGTTTCTCATCGAGCATCACCGTCAGAGCGAATCTGACGTTCCAAATATTCTCAGAGGTCTCCCGTATCCATTCAAATGTATTCTCAAGCGCAAAGCCTCCGAAGAGCAGCATGGCCATGAGCAAGAGGGAGCGGAGAAAGACAACGGTGATCGAAGCGAGAACGAAGAGGAAGCCAGTGGTGATACTGCTGAATTAATAGCAGAGGGACCCAACAATGGACCAAAGCGCAATGGCAGACGCGGTGGAAGACGGAGAGAGCGCCCAACAGGTGAAACAGAGGAGAGTCAGGGAAGTCGTCGTGGAGGTGGCAGTGATTCAACAGCAGAGAGTGAGAATCCCACGCGAGAATCAGGCGAAGGTCGTCGCCGCGGAGGACCACGGCGTGGAGGGCCCCGCGGTGAACGCCCCACTGATGAGTCTGGGGAGAGGCGTCGTGGTGGTCCTCGACGACAGAGGCCTACCCAAGAGCCCAGTGACGAGACTGACGCTGATGAGGGTGCACACAACGAGAACCAGGGCCGAGGTGGTCGTCGCGGTGGTCCCCGTCGCCGAGAGCGACCTACAGGAGAGTCGGACATGGCTAGAGATGGTCCACGCCGTCGCCAGAGGCCTACAGAAGACACTGCGGAGGAGACCAGCGTCGAGGAGGGCTCCGTCACTGAAGAGCGGAGACGTGGTGGACGACAGAGGCCAGGTCGCCGTGAACGACCAACTGGCGAGACTGGGGAAGCGGATGGACGTCATGGAGGCCGCCGTGGTCCACGTCGTGAGCGTCCAACAGGCGAGGTTGGTTCTGATGAAGAAGGAACAAGGCGTCGTGGAAGACCATTCGGTTTCCAAAAACGCGGAACACGGTCAACAGAGGAGCCCACTAATGGTGACAGTACAGGGGGTGCCCAGAGTAGCGAAGAGGGCAAAGGACGCCGACCCGGATTTCTGAATTGGGTTTTTGGTAGAGAGTAGGTGAAAACTTGAAAACGTATGAAGATAACTCTCATTTTTCCCCATCTAATGTTCTTCTGAGATTTGAACCTGTGTAGTTTCTCACATTCATCCAATCCATTTCATAGCCTTCAATCTCCCTACCTAAAATTGAGCCAATTGAGCACTGTGATATCCTGCCGCATAAGTTGTTTCAATCATCCTTTCTCGAATACACTGTTATTTTATCACGAATAATTTCACTATATTTCTCTATCCACATGAAGATTTAATACTCGTGAAGATTGGAAAATCCTTCGTTGATGTACTGAGTAATGAAACGATCACTATGAATTTCTGATTTCTTGCATTGTTTTGAAACTCGAACACAGTCGTGTCCCCTGAAACTATCCCCCCGGAATTGATTAAGTGATAGGAAATGGAGAATTCGGTGTGGGTGTATGTGATGAGTCATTGTACGCAGAAAGGACATTTTGAAATTTGCATTTACATTCTACATGCATAATAACTTGTATACTCAACCTACGGACTGCATGCTGTAACTTGTAGAATTATACCTTAACTTGATTAGGGCCGGGTTCCACTGCGGCTCCGTGGCTCCACTGCTCGGCGGCACTTGGCTGCATGCAGCGGAGCAGCTCGGTTCCACTGACACCCGCCATTCGCGGTATCGGGGTCCACACTTTTTGATGACGTTTCACCTGCCTGCGCGCGCGAAATCCAAAAGATCCTTGTGTTCTGGCCTGCGCAACGAATTAAAATTTGAATTTTAAAATTCTGGCGTTCAAAACAATGCAAATTACGGGAAACAGGTCGAGCCGCGGCCGCCGCTTGCAGTTTTTGGTCAAGAATCGTAGCGAAAGCTCGCGGTGAGCCGCGGCCTCGCTGCTGGAGCTCGAGCCGCGTTCACTATGGTAGTATGGAGGTTTAGTGACTTTAGTCCCACGTAATCCGTGGGTACTTTACGTGTGTGTACCACGTGATGCTCAGTGACCCACGTACAGACGTTTTCTGATTCACGACATACCGTGTATGGAGGCTCACCCACGTGCCGCCAGAACGTGGGTGAAAATCAGAATGGAGTGCATTGTGCAAGCTGTGAGGGTGCTCAGCTGAAGAAGTATCCGAAGTACGAAATCAAAATACTGGATGAGCTTCTTAGGCCCGTGTAGCTTGTGCCTGCCTGATGGTTCATGTATATTCTTAGGTCTTTAGGAGATTACAGCTGAGTGTAGTTTTCATTTCGTTCGATGTGACACTCATTAATTTTTCACTGCTTGTCAACACCAGAGCTAATTTGCCCTTTTCAAAGGCATAATAAGAAGAGTTATATTATTTTACACCTATGCCCAAATGTACTTCTTGTGAAGTAGATGTTTGGCACTGGCCCGCTTTCTCATGTGGCGTTGCTGTAGCCTTCGTGCGTGGCCGTGAAGACCTGTTCTATCTGGACTCCGAGATCGTGACTGAATGAGTGGGTCTTTACAGTTGTGACAGTCCAACTAAGTTACTTGTACATTTCTTGTTTTTGTTTTTATCAGCCAGGAATATACATGTAGCTAAACAGTGGTAGGGTGTATGTACATGTACATGTAGATGACAGTTCATGTCACTTTGGTTAGTTCGGTATGTTGTGGGATAGACAATGTCTGCTGACACTAGTCAATAGCCGAGTAGCAACTCTATCAAACGTATTAACTTCCTGCACAAAGTGGTGCTAGCCGGTCAATGGGTTTCCAAAGAACGAGACCACCTTCTGGCAGGCAGGCAGGCACAGAGGGTTGGTCTAAGACCATGGTTGAGAAACGAGAGGTACCAGGTTCAAGTCCTCCTTGGAAGCGGAAGGATTTTTCCAACCGTGCTGAGACCCACAGTTAATTGGCACCTCGTCGTGGCCTGGCATGAGTAAAGCATGTGTGTGGCAAATGGGTTTTAGGCCTTTGGCCTCTGGTTGGTGGATCTGATGTATCCTCCCCCACCGTTTAGGTGCCGCATCTGACGCCTGATCATGGGGCGGTGGCGTTCCGCGGAAGCGGAAAGGTGGTTCTTGACCAGGGAGTTGTTCTCGACCCGCCCAGTACGCGGAACCTTCGAATTATGATTATTTTTTAGACCACCTTCTGCAGAGGAGCACTGAATTTTGTTTTTTTTCGGTTCACTTGGTTTCTCATTTTAAACTTTATCCATTTTATCAGAAGACATGAAATGGAGAGTGTGGCTCTTTGGTGGAGTGTAAGATTTAAAACACGTTTAGGAAAACTCTCACATTTTCAAGTTTAGTTGTCCATGATTATAATACTAATAAAACTGTGATGAGTAGTACTAGGCCCAAACATTTGCTTTAATCATTTATATTTTTATATTTTTTACAACATCTCAAGACGCGGTGGAAACACCGGCCAATGTTAAGAGAGTGGGTGAATGGCCAACCACGGCATATCATAATAATATTATGGCTCGCCCTGTGATCATGAATCACTCTTACAAAATTTCTATCCACGTGTAAATGGCATATTCTCGTAACGATCTTTACCTACTTGTTTCAAGTAATATTGGTACCACAGCACTGGATTAAAACATTTTTTAAACTTTATTTGTATCCCAAAAATGTCGTTTGTTGCGCTTATTTTGCGCGTTTTTTGCGCTTATTTAGCCTATATTCCCTGCTTGATACCAGACCAGAACTGTATTCTTTCATTTGCCTTTGAAAACGGAATACAGTACTATCACACCAGATAATATCTGTGTTGATTTGTATCATTGCACTGGGTTTCTCATGAAACTATAGCCTAAAATTGGTGAGATATTCTGAAGTGGAGAGTGAGGGCATGTACACGTCCATTTGGAGGGGTGGTATGTAGAAGTGTCCATGCTCATGTTTTAACTTGGGTGAATGCTATGTGCAGTTTCCAACTCGCTTGATGTTACACACATTTGTCAATGCACGTCAACACCACAGCTTTTATGCTCTTTACGGTGGCATGCCCAAGAGGCTGCTCCATATGCACCAGCTGTTCGAACTTACTCTGTATCGCATCAACCAAGCGCCCCTGAGTGATACCGAGTAACTAACGGTAATAATACATGTAACACCATTACGGTTCGTCTCAAATGACAGAGTCACATAAAACCCTAAGATAGTAACTGATAGAGGATCAAGGTCATGCAACTGGGAGCAGAACTTACCTTGCGCGAATGCCACTCTGTCACCACTTCTCATCTAGTCCCGTAGGCTCTATCCAGTGCCTTCAACGTAAGATTGGGTAATGCATTAATAACAACCTAGTCAGATATCGGCGAGCGATTCAAGGAAGATGCTCTGGGTCTAAACAACAGTCTCCCTCAATTGTAGACGCACCATATTCCCATAGCACGAGAGAAAGAAACCTGATGGTAGGCTACAACAAAGGCGACGAACTGTAAGTGTGAATTTGTTTCTATTTTTTTTTATTTCGAAGGCATTCAACCTGTAGTGGAATGTATCTGGATTACTACTTACTGTCGTTCGCTTCGAGCTTGCACCTAATGCTAACATCTGCTGAACACATGCGCGAGCTCCGATCCCACTTGAGCTGGTAAGCCGTATGAACTTCCGCTAGATGCATCCTCTTGTCCCGCAAATACTGTTTTACACCCGGTTCTCCTGCTCAAGCCTTTACCAGCTGCTGCATCTAACGCCAAAGATATGCATAGCCGTGCACATGAATGTACACATTACATCTATGGTGACGTACATCCTTCAGCTCTCAGTAGACCCTGTCTCCGGATTAGTCCACAGTCTATGGTCTAAAGCCTGGCCGGTGTTGATCATTGCCATAGCTAACGTATTGAACGGTACTGGTCAAACGCTTTCAGTCCACTAAGCTCTAACCTGTTTGAGGTTGGGTTCGTTTGGCCTGCACGATCGTGCATTTACTAAATCGTGCATTAAACTAGGCCTATTGAGGATTTGAGATCCGGTTGAAACGGCGATGCGTGGTATAGGTGGTCCTAGTTGATCCTAATCTTAGGTCACACACTCTAGTCGGCTTCAAAGTTAGGCAACACTATTAGGAGGACTTTCACCGAAGAAGTACAGGTTCCTGCACGAGTACGAGGGCAGTACCGCGGAATCCAGCCCGCGCCGCGATAGCGGCAAGGGCTGGATGAACAGCGGTACTGGCCGAGTATGAGTGACTGGATCGTGTTTCCCGTGTGCACCCAAGCCAAATAAAGAGATACATGACAGACACACCTGCATTGTGTTTTGTGATTGTTTTCTGGTGGACTCTACAAATTTTTGTAGTAGTCCATAGTGCTTTTTTTCTTGCGCTGCCATTGACATTGGCGACTGGGCATCAGGCATTCTGGCTGTTCTGTTCCTACGGATTTTTCCCACGTCTTGATCGGAAACCTCGGAAAATTGCGCGGATCCTGCAGGTTGCTGAGCATTGCGCGCTTTGGTTGAGGCTCATCCGGCTCGTCCAAGATCTCCTTCGCGAGCGACTCCGCAATAAAAGTTTCGGTCTCTTCCTTAACTTTTCGGAGGAGGTCATTCGCATCGCCAATATCGTTCAAGAAATGGGCTTCTTTTCTCCCAGTTCCAGATCAAATGTTGGAGCGCCATGATGACAGTTGTGGTTGAAAACAGTCGCTCTTCTGCTTTAGGTATTTTATTAGTAACCAATGAAAGACATTGAAGTAGAGTCAGTCCTATGGCTACTGCCCGACGGGCAGTTGAATCCGTTCCTGCCCGTCGTCAAGTGACGACGGGCAGTGGAATCCGTTCCTGCCCGTCGTCACTTGCCGACGGGCAGTGTAATCCGTTCCTGCCCGTCGTCACTTGACGACGGGCAGTGGATCCAGTTCCATCACCTGTGTGAGCAGGCAGGACCGCGCTTTCCAGCCCGCGCGGTTTGATCTGTCATTGGTCAACTCCAAGGCGACAATCACGTGACATATGGGAATACTCGATACTCGCTTGTTACAGTCACAGATATGCAGGAACCCATCTTGGCTAATCCGGAACCGAACAAAGAGGCACGGATTGCTGACAGACACTGCGATACCGCTTCACCTTTTCCATTCTTATCCGGAGATATCGTGGCAGTAGGTGTACAATGAGCGGTATACCGTAATTGCGGTAGATCAAAGTTGCAACGTGCCGTTTTCAGCTCCACTTGATGGCCTCTGTTTCAAGGATCAACTGACGGTCTGGGTCAAAGTTTGTCGCAGGAACATTTTCTCTTATACAGGAATCCCAGCGCCGTCATGAAACTACCTGTCCGCTTCAATTGCCATCAAATAATGTATCACCGTAAAACGGTAAAACGGCGTGTAGCACTGGTGGCTTTTGCTTGCAAGTCGATATTCATGATGCGACGAGCTTAACCCGAATGAGGAGAAATTAGAACAGGAATGGGTCCACAATGCTTTATGGCCATTTTCGATTGTATGTTCACAAGGAGAATGCCCGTCGACTGTTTAGTCACTAGCTGAGCGATGTTTTGTTATGAAAGTGCATTGTTGACACGCAAGGTGCCACAGGACACTGCTGCATAATTCTGCATTACCAGTTTCTGCCAGCAGATACGAGTCATTAGACAAAAAGACTTTAGTACGTTCGCAATGCGTGTAAAAGTTGGATTCTGAACCACCCCCAGGCAAGATAGTGCTATTCTTTCAAAGGAGTGGATGTTTAAACGCTTCACTCAGTACACATACCGAAAGCGTGCGATGAACCACAGCTTGGATCTTATGTGAAGAGCTAATAAGCAGTACCCTCGTTATTTAAACGTGAAGCAATATTAAACAACATAAATTAGGATTGAATTACCCCTTGAAAATGAACATCAGATGCAACCAAACGTCCATAATAGAAGACAAAACACGTGTACGTCCGAAAAGCTTGTGACGTGCATAATTTCGATCAAGTAGATTGCTTGCAAATGCGACATGTTATTACGGCATGCTGGAGATGCCAAAATGTTCATTATGATAAAAGGAATACAAAAGCAAGCTTTCGGGACAACCCGTATATCATTGAGAATGATGATGATTACAGTGTATGCTCGGTAATAATAAACAAAGGAACTGCTATATCAACGTGACAAACGCAGTTATCATAAGAAGATACACCGAGAAGGAAATGACTGAAGCCTGACTGAACTCCGTGTTACACTTTGACTTGTCGCAGCACGTCACGCACGTGGTGCCATCGCATTTTTGTGTGCCGAAATCCTTGTGGCAACCGCTTAACTGATCTGGCCTGGCACAGCCTAAGCTGATGGTGACCTCGCCCGTTTCAGCACTGGCTGAAAACGTATCTGAAATAAAACGAGAAACACGACATTCGGACTACATTTAGTTGACAAATTGGGCTAATCGGGGGTCAGATGACATTTGGCTAGAAATAAGAACATCCTTCCAATGACGTCAACTTGAAATAAGAAATACAACTGTTCCTCCTCTCCGAGGAGCTTGGTCCATAATTAACACTATCTAGTCACAATATCCGGTAAACGGTCCATTTCGACCGTCCAAGGCCTCACTTGTTTAGCAGAAAGGGAAATGCAGATAAAACCCCTATCGCAATCTGCTAAAACTCCGATCGCAATCTGCTCTTGTCAACAATATTAGTAATCCACGAAGCAGCCAAACACGTCTTCGATCTCTTCATATATATCCTGCAGAGTCCAATTATGCGGTCTCCAATGTATTCCCCATCTCTTCTCTAGACAATAGTTTCTGGTCCTATTCGAAATACTGTCCAAGCCCTTGCATTTTAGATTTCACCGGTGGGTTTCATTCAGAATAATAACGACCTATGTGTTCACTAGGTTTAGCATCAATAGGACAAAGGCTGGTTGGGAACGAGGAATGACTGAAATTCGCCCGTTGCAGTTGCGAATTACCTCGTTGCATTTCTGTTTCATTCAGAATTTTTGAAAACAAATGTTTAAGTCCGAGCTGAAGACGTTCTAAGGAGGGCTTGTTTTTGAGGATTGCTATGATACAAAATAGGTACCTCAAAGTACTAGCATCCTTGATATTCGTTCGTATCATCATTTTATTGTGCAGCTGCATGTCATTTGGAAGTCCATTGAAAATAAGAATCTCATTTGCGTTCACTTACTTGGGTATACGAGCGTTGAGATGCACGTCGTACTGTTCACACAAATTTCCTCCTTGGTCGGACACGTTGGCGTGTTCAGGAATTTCACGGCAACATCACTGCAACTGGCCTTCCAGCATGAAAAGTTCGACGCATAAGCCGTGCTGGAGATGACAGGAGCCACTGTAGGATCACTGAAGTTCAAACCATCATCAGCAGACACCAGACTGATGGCAGCGGAAGATAGTACAAGGATGATCATAGATAAGTTCTTGTCCGCACTCATCGTGTTGGGTGTGTCAAAGTACAGAATGAAGCAGGATCTTTACGCAAACTGGCGGCCTTCTCTTCACGCGCGTTCTAGCAAGAACTGCCCGATTTCGAAAAGGAGGCTGAATATATACTAGTACATTTGTAGCACGTAGTTTGCTGTGCGTATGCTGGTGTTACTACATCACCTATATGCAGCACGAACTCTTCTAGCCTCCAAACTAGAAACATCTGCTGAGAGGCCTTTGGCTCCGGACTGGTAAGCCACACATCCGTAACAACCGTAGCCTACGTTCAGGTGGTGAATTTTATCAACAAAATGGGCTACAACTTATTTGTTAACTTGCGCAGTAGATCTACAGTATTTTAAACAACATAATCGTATATGTATCTTGCTTACACAGGTGCTGCAACCTCGCTTCTAAATTGATCCCAAAAGGGTACACAAGATGTTTGCCCATATACGGTTGCATGCTTTCACAATTTGCAGGAGGAGAGGAAGTGTTTTGATTTTCCCAGGAACTTTAAAGGGGGTTCGACAGCGAACAAGAACCAGGAAGGAACACAATACACGTACGGACTGTAACCAGATGTGAAGAAGTCTTGAAGAAAACCTGCATGCTGACTATATAAGAATAATTTTATAATATTTATTTTATCAGGCCTTTGAATGAATGAAGGACCCAAACATCAAGCAACTATGTTACTTGTTCGACATTTGTGTAACTAGTGGGCCTCAACCAGCGAAACCAGCCCTTAGGTTCAACATTTCCAAAATTCCTTTTTGGTTAGAAATTTGTTGAACCACATCTACTGAAGGACCTCAGCCAAGAAAAAGTTCAATATTCCGATTCTAAACGGGTGTATACACCACAATACACGATGTACTCCAAATTGTTGCAATGTATGTATACGATGTATGTGTACAATGAATATTCAGCATTTGTGTATGTGTACAATGAATATTCAGCATTCGAAGGTCGGCGGGCAGCTTGAATACTTTTGAAATAGTGAAGTAAGCAGCTATAATGACAAAGAATAGCTGATGAGTGCGGAGAAATGATCGACATATTCGCAGCTGCATCCTGCGTTGAGTCGTTCAGCAATCTCGTCTTCCATTTCTTCCTCCGCAGCTGAAGACACGACATCGCTACCGTCACTAGCCCCAGACTCAGAATTTATCTCAGGTGAAGACTTCTCATCTTCCGACTCTGACGAGTCATCGGCCACATTGAGCCGCATCGCAGCAGGAGATGACGGCTGCGATTCCGCCTCGCTGTCGACATCGATGTCGGAACCAAAGAACGTTTCATCCTCCTTCTGAACTTCAGCGGCTACTTCAGCATCCACTCCCCACCAGGCTCGAGCTAGCTGTAGACAATGACTGCCGTGTGTGCTCGGCGAACAGCTCTGGCGTCCGCAGCCATCGCAACAAGATCAAGGAACACTGGGTCGCCACTCGACACCACTTCAACTTCGAAATAATTTACTTCAAGCAAGGAGTTCAAGAAATCGTCGAGCTGTTCGTAGCGCGATCAACAAATCGTTGAACGTCACAAATCGACCTTTTTCTCGAAAAATCACGAAATCTCTAAAGGTCGTTTTCGCTGATTGCAGCTCAAGTAACACACACAGTTGCTTGATGTTGCGTCTTTCTGTCCTGACCGTCAGTGGAATGTACGTAATTGAAAGCAAACAATGAAAATAACTGAAGTCAGATAATCAAGCAAGGGTACAAACTAATCAAGGCTGCTAAAGAATGCGAAAAAACAATGTAGGAAGGCTAGCAAGTGAGGTGATAATCTTACATGACAAAGTGTAGAAGAACAGAATCAGAAGTGTAACTTCTACAGTATAACTCTAATGCACCGACATGTTCTTTTGCTTGCACAAATCAGGCGTATGCACACGAATACAAACAGCTTCAAGGACTTTCCACTTGTTTACATAACGGGCACGAAAACGTACACAGAAATGTAGGTCATTATACACATTTTAATTAAAGACAGTCTGGACGGGACACCAAATGCACGTATAGAGCTGACTTCTTCTTATGAATGCAATTATTAGCCTCTTCATTCTCCCTCTCGTTCAACTGCCTCCATCTTCTTCCTCTGCTTCATCCTCATCTGTGTCATTGTCCGTGTCTGTCTCTGCTTCATCCGCTGTGTTCTCATCCGTTTCCTCCTCGTCCTGTTCCTGGCCTTTCTCTTCAGTGTCAGCAGCTCCTTGGGTTAATTCATGCTGCTTTAACTGTGTCTGAGTGCCACTACTAAAATTTTTTTGCGGGCCCTGGTCAATCCTGGCATAAATCCCCATTGAGTAGCTAGCTCACAAAGGATACATCCAGTCACTCTAGAGCAAATTCAGTAACTCAGCCTGTCCGTCGGTTTACTCATTCGTCAGCTTCCAGGATGTTGTGTTTTCCCTTCATTGTTTTTTACACAAAAAAAACACACCATTTGACGGCACAAAGCAGCCAGGCAGTGATGAGATATATGGAATGGCAGGAGTGGGGTATCATCCTGCACCATTAGCACTAACCACCTCCGCTGACACCCTCACACATACTTCTGCTGAGATAGGTGCTGTTGTTCTTAAGTTCTTAACGAGCACTTTGATGTAGGAATTGGCACACAGAATGATCCTGCATGGTCGGTCGTAGATCTGTCTCATCTCCTTCTCCCGGCCTCGAACTGGCCTCTCAAACATTGTCAACATTCGATCGCCTATCCTCTCTCTCTCTCTGTTCTTCAACATTCCCTTTCCAGTTGATAAACATGGTGATAAAGACACACCTGGCAATATGGCGGTAACCATACGCCTGCCCACACACGCTCTCTAAGCTGCGAAGTTCTGGCACAGAGCTCTCCTTCTCACCACCACCACCATTAGTTCATAAGTACAGCTGCAGTGGTGTCTTCAACTTCATATTCCCTTTCCAGGGTCGTTTTTCGTTCTGACTGGAAACATACATCGCTCGTGCCCATATACAAGAAAATATGAAGCAGAAACTATCCTGGTAACTATTGTCCTATCTCTCCACTGAACACCTTCTCCAATATACTTGACAGAATCGTCTATGATCAGATGCACTATAATCTGTCACCTCTGTTCCGTGATAATTATTATGCAACCTGGATTCGACCATGATGACTCTACCTCCCTAGACCAACCTTGCCCAGTGACTGTGTTGCTGTAGTGTATTTTATTATTTTACTAAGGCATTCCAAACAGACCATAAGGTTTTCTTACAGGGTGCCCAAGATGAATGAATTTGTTAAGTTCCTGGCGAAATGATTTGGGGATATGATTTTGTACCCTTGGAGACCGCCGGCATAACATTGGCCTTAGTCTCTTCGACTTCGGAAATCGTTTGATTCAGTTTGGCATCAGAGATTGCTAAGCGCCAAGCTGCATGCTTATGGGGTCTCCGCCGTCTGCAGTCGCGACATTCCTCCCATCTCAAATATCGGACTCAATCAGTAAAGCTTCGTCTAGTCCTCTCTGATTCTTTCCCTGTTTGCTCTGGTGTACCGCAAGGGTCCACTCTTCGACCGTTATTGTTCCTGGCCCTCGTCAAGAACCTCCCTGACCTCAACCCTGGCGTGTCTATGCTTGCAGATGACACGTGTACGCTGCGCATTAGTCCCCCTGTTCCCCGTCTTTTATTGGATCCTCAAGCGGGTATCACGGATATCACCTCTTGTATGACATTGTGGAAGCTTAACTTAATCATAACGTCAGGAAGAACAACATAATGATCCCCCCACCCCATGTCTACTACTCTCTAGCACTCTCTCCTACCCCTAGTATTCCAAACCTCTACAACCCCCATTAAATATGTAGATCATCGCATGCATCTAGGTATCCATTTTCACATCAATCTTTCCTGAAATGACCATGTTGCTCACGGATATCACCTCTTGTATGACATTGTGGAAGCTTAATCATAACGTCAGGAAGAACAACATAATGATCCCCCCACCCCATGTCTACTACTCTCTAGCACTCTCTCCCACCCCTAGTATTCCAAACCTCTACAACCCCCATAGAATATGTAGATCATCGCATGCATCTAGGTATCCATTTTCACATCAATCTTTCCTGAAATGACCATGTTGCTCATATAATGTAAGAAGACTATCTACGAAGTCAAATGTTTTCCAGAATCGATTTTCTTGTCACAACTATCAGTTGTGACATAATGCCTCGCAAGCCGAATCATACGCTACAAAGAATATTTTAGAACATTCGCTACGAGCACACGAAAACACAAGGAAACTACCAGCAGGTACGCTACGCCGATCGACAGTTGTTTTTTGTTCTGAATAGAAAGTCTGGAACGGTACAAAAAATGAAATATTTACGCAAGGGAGCAACAACAAAAGTTCGGAACAATACGAAGAGTAGCATTACAGGCAAGATGCAAAAATAAGAAAGTCGAAACGAGGCGAAAACGAAACACACGTAAACGCAGTATACTGTAAAACAGGAAAAATCTAACAAGTCACAAAGTTTAACGTTTTAACGACCAAATATTTGTCGTTATTAGAAAAAAAACGTTATCGGTGGATGTCTGTTTAAAGATGCGCATACAGATGGGTGACCAGGTAGCCATCGTTAACCTTAATTTGGCCGTCACAAGAATTCAGCGTATTCTTGCAGTTTTTTTCTTTTGTTTCGGCTTGTATTGGACCAATTAAGCATGTTTATAAGTTTGAACTGAATATGTCCATGCGTTATGGAAATATTTATATGTTCCCAAAAGGGAACGTTGGCCGGATCGCGTACCAAAATGACCATGGTTTTTATGAAGGGAAGATGCAATATGATATAATGGATTATGTTGTCTTCTAAGTGTTTGTGGAGCAATGCAAACATGAACAAGCAGTAATGGAGAAGAAAATAATATGTAATAGTCGTCAAAGAGTGTCCAGCAATGTTTCTTAGTGTTTTCGGCTGCTACCGTTCGCGTCTCGTATACACCGTGGCATTCGATCCTCGATCGAAATGCAGTCGAACTCCACACTTAGAACAGTAACATATCATGGTTTGTCTGCACCATTTACAACAACATTGTGTTGTCCACATTGTTGTTGTCAAACGCGCTGGTATTGCACATCAACAGCAAGACACTGGTGCTTCTGGGCGGGGTCGGCTATAGTAAAATAGGACGGCGATCTCGGGATGAGCCTTGATGTAGGACATTGGCTTGGGGCTCACCGCTGCTTAAAAAATTGGCACTCTCAGATCAGTTGTAAGAATGTGGAGCCAGACAAAAAGAATTACAAGGAATATCTCAAGATTGTCGGTCTCCGAGCTAATGTTGGCCTTGTCCGTATCGCGGGTATCGCGCAGTATTTACTCGTCAAATAATGTTTAGAGATGTACAGGGTGTGTATATCTCGCGATTGGCAAGTGGGTGATGCTGTAGTGATCTCATGGTGTTCGTGAAGGGATTTGTCCAGTTCAATTTCAGGACCCCTATCGTAAACACCAGTCTATTTCACCTAACGCGTTGCTCCAGCGGGTTGGCGTTTTTTTTGCGGTCGTACTCACTATCAACAGGAAAGGCACCAACATCATTATCCTCTCCATTCGTCAACTGGTAGTCGTCTAGGTCCATATCTCTTGCAAGTTCGATGAAACCTTTATCATCCGTTGAATCATCTGATTACTACTCTATTTCATCGTCCACGTTCAGATCAACGAGAAGTGGTGAGCACACATGCTCTTTCCCTGGGCACAGCAAATTCACTGCATCAGAATCACGGAATCATTAGCACCATGCAGTTGTGAATTTGCAGTGCTCAGAGAAGGAGCAAGTGTGCTCACCACTTTGTTTCGAGTTCCTGAGCTGCAGGATGCCTTACTCCTATAGCGCTTACGTTCAGATTGCCAGTAATCGGTGGCGCTAGGAATAAGTCTTGAAGTGTGTTGGAGTTCTCAACAATGTCCTTAGCTTTCATTGGAATCACTTTTGAGTCCCTTTCCAGAAAGGACTCTGCTACTGTAAACCTTTCCCTCTGCCTTACCACATTACAGCTAAAGCGATATTTTCTGACAAAAATGCAACCGCGCGGAGGAAAAGATCATCGAAAGTCCAGGAGAACGCCATAAAGCATCCATACTTTGCTGAATAGTGTTCAAGTGAATCTTGTTACACAAAAGAAAACATACTTCAGAAGTATATTCCTTTGGAGACTGTTTACCAATCTTTACTTTGGCAAATGTCAGCCTCGCACAGCATTGCTGTATTCAGCATGCTAGTGAATCACAAATATATGACCAAATTTGGTTACCATGGAGATGGTCCAATCACCATCAAAACATCAAAAAGGCTCCATCAGTTATATATCCACGTTTACGAATGTTACAAACAAGGATATGCGCTAGATATACTGGTTCCTGAAATCAGGTGAAAATGAGGTATATCTGGGCCTCTGATCTGGCCAACGTTCCCTTTTGGGAACATAGAAGAAAGACGGCGGGTTTCTATGTGCCATGATCAAATTTCCGGTGAATCTTCAGGCCAGTTGGCTGGCCATACTAGCAGAGTGCACTTCTTACGTGTGGATTACTCTGAGAAAGACTGTTTTTCACACCAGAATTCTCAATTTCTGAAGTACGGTCGAATACCGAAAATTCACGACATTTCGCGTTATATACCGATACTTGAAAAATTCAAAAGCCTGACAAATATTCCAAGATTCATGATCATCAGCCTTCTAGATATGCATATAAACAGAAAATGCGGAGGAAAAATGAATTTCCCTTGACCAAATCGCATGCGGAAAGAAATGTTCCCTTTTGGGAACATTGGCCTGATTAAGGTTAAACTTTCTGCACGCAATCATGCCAAAATTACAAAAATAATAAACTTTTTGGTTGTTAGACTTTCCGGTTTTTCAGTACTAAGGAAACAAGGTGGTGGTGGGTACGAGAGAAGAGTCGGGCGTCAATGTCTGAACTCAGCATGCACAGGCACAAGAGAAGTCGACTCGAGGAGGTTCTTATTTGTTAGCTTACACGAAAGATTCAAGACGATGAGATAGAGGATTAGCAAATTGAAAGAACGAGGCTACGATGGGCCTGGGTAGCTACGGCAATGGATGGACGACAGCGCCACTGTGGCAACCTAGGCTAACGAATAATACGGGAATGCGGGAAAAGGGCGGGGAGAGTGCGGGGCAAGAGGGAAAAGCGGGAGAAGAAGCATGCCGTAATTTGTGCATCAGTGGGTGCGTACATGCGTATAATGCGTATAATGTGAGAAAGGTCATTAGTGTGTGAGTGCGTGCATAATTATAATGGAATGGTAGATCGAGCGTTACTTTCCACCAAAAAGCCATTTCAGAAATGCAGGTTGTGGTCCGTTGTCCTCTGGGTTACTGTCGGCGCCCTCTGCGATGTCAGCATTAGTGGGCTCCTCTGCAGAAGTTGTTCCGGTTCTTGTGAAACCAAATTGTGGTCCACGACGTCTTCCACCTTCTTCACTAGACCCAGCCTCGCCCGTTGGACGTTCACGGCGAGGACCACGGCGACCACCACGACGTCCGCGACGTCCGCCATCCAGCTCAGTCTCGCCGCTGGGTCGTTCACGGCGGCCTGGTCTGCTTCGTCCACCACGTCTCTGCACTTCAGTGACGGAGCCCTCCTCCACGCTGCTGTCCTCGGCGGGATCCTCTATAGGCCTTGGGCGACGGCGAGCACCGTTTCTAGCCTTGTCGGATTCTCTTGTAGGACGCTCCCGAAGGCCTTCTCCCCGAGTCTCGGCAGTGTGTTGCTCACGATGACCTGGCCTGTTTCGTCCACCACGTCTCTGCTCTTCCGTGACGGAGCCCCCTTCGATGCTGCTTTCCTCAGAAGTATCCTGTGTTGGTCTCTGGCGACAGCGTGGACCATCTCCAGCCATGTCTGACTCTTTTGTAGGGCGCTCGCCGCGGCGGGGAACACCTCGACGACCACCACGGGCCTGATTCTCGTTGTCTGCACCTTCCTCGCTGGTAATCTCATCAACGGACTCCTCGGTAGGTCGTGCTCGCTGAGGACTACCACGGCGTCTCTGCTCCTCAGTGACAGATCCCTCCTCCACGCTGCTCTCCTCGGCAGGATCCTCTGTAGTACTGGGGCGACGGCGTGGGCCATCTATTGCCATGTCGAAATCTCCTGTAAGGTGCTCTCGGCCACGGGGTGCACCGCGACGACTACCCGGGCCTTGATTCTCGTTGCCTGCACCTTCATCGGCGTTCGTCTCGCCACCTGTTTCCTGGGTAGGTCCCGCTTGACGAGGTTCACCACGGCTAATCTCTCCCGGCTCATCTGTAGGGCGTCCAATGCGAGGCCCTCCACGGCGATGACCTTCGCCTGATTCTCGCGTGGAATTCTCACCCTCTGCTGTAGAATCACTACCACCTCCACGACGATCTCCCTGACGGTCCTCTGTCTCACCTGTTGGGCGCTCCCCACGCCGTCCGCCGGGTCTGCCATTGCGTTGTGGCCCACTGTTGGGTGTCTGTGCTCCTTGGGATTCAGCAGTATCACCACTGGATTCCTCTTCATTGTGCCTTCTATCACCCTTGCCATTCACCGCTCTCTCATGCTTATGGGCATGCTGCTTGAGGATGCATTTGAGTGGACGCGGCAGACCTTTGAGAATATTTGAAACGTTTGTATCGCTCCGGCGGTGATGGTCGATGACAAACAGTCGTAGATTAGTCAGCGCCATATTCAGATCACCCAGGCATTCACCCAGGGTGGAATCAGCACCGCAGCTAAAGCCTTGCAGTGGGTGCTCTTCACTCTGAAGAACAGCGGGCATTTTCATTGCTGTGGCTACACTTGCCACAAGGGCAAGCACCAGCAATTCCTTCATCATCGTCTAGTTTCTTTCTCGTAGGCTCGATATTCTTGATCGCTAGATATAGCTTGTAAAGGCTGCACTGAACTTCTTAACGGAAGCATTTCACTTTTATAGCACATTGGCTGGTTTCATGCAAAAATCCGCATTTTTTGTTTGCCACGTCTTTCATCGTCATGGACAATATTGATATAGATGCCTTTTAAAAAATGCAAGGCTACACAGAATATGTCTTAGACATATTGACCAGATAGTCATGACTTGATTCAGTGTCAGAATTTTCAACTTTCTCCGCCCTTTAACACCTATCGAATGTTGGTACCACTGCGTACCACAACTGCGCACTATGCTGAAGTCTGAATTTTTGGACAGATTCGAAAGACACCCATAGGCTATACACTAAATAACGTGATCGAGCATGGGCTCTTATTCCCCACCTAACCACGTTGATCTAACCAAACAGACATCAACTGGCATCTACACCAAGCCTGCATCTCCGGCATTATATTCATACATTATAAAAAAATAAAATGGTGTCTGCGTTCTAGTATCAACTGGCAAATTTGGCTGTACCGTTCATTCATCCACAGGCTAACGTAGTGACGTCACTCCGTGCGGGTGATTAGAAGGGATGGGGGTTAGAGGGACAAGAGGGGTTTGAGGGAATAGCGGGGGTTGACGGGTTAGCCTAACCGACAAGTTAGGATTTCCTACTTCTTTTGAAGTACTTGTACAGTCTCGAGAGTGGGTATATACTATAGTGTGTACATGTATATAGGGCAGGGTGATGTCACGTAGAAGGGACAATGTGAAATGGTGAATGCCTAGCTCACCTGAAAATGGCGCCGACTGCGGCAACTTATCATTGAGCATAACCGCCAAACCAAACAACACTCTCTGGATTGCAAAGATTTAGCAAAGGTCACATCTATTAAAATTTCCTAATGATGCTGTGTTGGAGTCGTCAAGTGCTTGTACATGTTATTATACGCTCTTTGTTTAAAGCCTCTATTAATGGCAGAAATTAACACACTATGTATTAAAATGCAATACAACATACACTGGAGAAGAAATCAGACAAATGCTTGATTGTAAAAAATATGGATTTCAAACCCAAACCCCAAAAAAATGACTTCAGTTCAGCCAGCAAATACTATGCACATGTGAGTATATCATCTGCTGCGTTGTTATCGGTGCAAGTGTGCAAACATCATGTTGGATTTGTTATACTAGCAGTCTTCTACACGCTCTTAAAACTGATTTTCCTATAATAGGCCTAGTCCATAAGGTGTGGAATGTCTTGACATAATCAAAATATTTATGAGATGATGCGTTGCGCCCAATACATCGCCAAATTGACAGATGGATGATTGTGAAGTTAGTTGTGGTACCTGGCGGCGCGCATATTTCATGACAAGGACGGACAGAGTGAAGTGTACTATATGCTCTAAGTGAAGAATAGCCGTAGTAGGCGCTTTCCCATGTCACGTTGCATTTGCCTTCGTGCCAGGCTGTGTAGACCTCGTGACTGTGACGGAATGAGTCGGTCTGTACAATTCGGACAGTCTAACTTTTCTGTTAGGCTAGCCCCTCTAGCCCCCTTCAACCCCTCTAATGTTTTCCAGGACAGGTGTTTGTGCCCCGGAGTGCACCCCACCATTATTACGCCCAGCTAAGTGCGGTGTCGCTTGTCCATCGCTTTGCTCATGGCTGCAATATTGTGTATTTGCGGTGCAAGTTCGGCATACCATCGCCCAATTAATGCGAAGAGGGATTTGGTCTTTACGGGGAGCCGTTTCTAAGCGTGGGTAGTAACAAGGCTGCTTGTGTGGTCTCTGCGTGTTGCTATGGTAGCGGAGTTCCACCGCTGAAACAGGTTTTTACTGCAAGTATTGCGTTATGAATTGTTGGGTAGATAGATTCGTGGTCGATAATAATTTTTTTTTGGAGTGCGCATCCAAGATGTGCTAGAGCTGTTAGCCAGCTAGCTGTAGGACATCGGTATCGTCGGTCAGTGTCGTGCAATCTTATCGCGCGAGCTGATTGTTTAGCACCTGGTGGTGTGACTGACCGTTATAGCGTAACGTGTAGTTCCTTGGTCCTTTTTCTATTCCATAATTGTTTCATTATATTTTATTAGAATGAAGTTGAAGACTGCGCTGCAGCTGTACCTATGGTTGATAAATATTGTCGCAAACACACACCTGGCAAGTTGGACGTGAACACACGCCTGCCCGCACACGCTTTGTAGCGTGCAAAGTTATTGTGTAACAGAGCTCTCATTCTCAACTCCAACATTGCCAGTGGAAGAGGCTTTCTCACCTAACCTGTCACTGGACACATCATGCACGCAGTCCCCATTTCTCCTCTTGTGTTTTTCATCAGGCAGGAATATAGTGCCGCAGATGCAGGCTGTCCATGTATGTAGATGACGGTAGCTGTTGACGTCACTTTGGTTAGCTCAATTAGTTGCACGATGTGGGAGGATAGACAATGCCCGATGACAAGAGTCAATTCTTAGCCGATTAACAACTCTGTCAAACTTAATAAATTTGTCCCTGGTCAAAATATTATGCGCAGATACGTTGCTTCCATTACATCTCCATAGAACGAATGGATTATTGCGAAGTTAATTAGTTGTGGTACCTGGCGGCGCCTATTTTCATAACATGAACGGACAGAATTAAGTACGTTTACGTTTGCTGCACGTATTGGGAGATGAGTTATGGGCACTTTACCCTGTGGTGTTGTACTTGCCTTCGTGCCAGGCTGTGTGGACTTGTTGTACCAACATGGAATTCGGGACTGTGACTGACTGAGCTCTGTACAATTACGACAGCCTAACTAGTCTTTTAGGCTAACCCCTTTAGCCCCCTCCGACCCGTCTAATATTTACGACGGCAGATGTTTGTGCCCTAGAGCGTGCCACATCACACCATCGTCAGTTCGCGCCTGGCGCCTAGTGGATTCATGGTTAGCGGTATCCCACTTAGCAGGTTAGTACATCAGGTAGCATATGGCACACAGAAGATGACACAGCATGGCATAGTTGGATTGAGACGTTGGATGTCTTGACATGGAGCTTCATTTGGGAGAATGATGTTTATATTAATCGTCATCTTGCCAGGTGTGTGTTTACCGCCATATTTTTCATCCAAAATTACAGCTGCAATAGTGCCTACAGCTTTTATTCTCCTGAGTCCCAATCGAGCTATGTCGTTGCTGTGTCATTACCTAGGCGCCAGGCGCTAGACGCTAGGCGCCAGGCGCGAAGTGATGATGGTGGTGCTGAGAAGGAGAGCTCTGTGCCTGAATAAGTGTGTAGCCTAGAGGGCGTGTTGGGGCAGGCATATATTTACCGCCATTTTACCAGATGTGCGTTTAGCACCAGAATTGTATAAACTCGAATGAACTCTGACTTGTAGCTATATTTCCTTTTCCTTTCTAGATTTTTTAAGCGTTATTGTTTTCTTACTTTTGTTTTCATTCGTGCGGTGTTTAATTAATAGTTGCTATTCAATATTCACTGTACTGATACATGGTGATAATTGTGTTTCGGCTTGCCAGTAAAAGAGGCCTTCTCAGCTAACCTGTCAGTTGACACATCATGCACGCAGTCACCCTTTCTTCTCTTTTTTTTATCAGCCAGGAATATAGTGCAGCAGATGCTGGATGTACATAGATGACAGTTGATGTCAAATTTGGTGAGTCAAAGCTGCACGATCTGGGAGGATAGACAGTCACGGATGAAATAGTTCAAAAGTCGATTTACAAGTACATATGTCAAACATCGAGCTGTGCTGAGGAGCTCTAACAGAGCGAAACATTTGCTGTCCACAGATTTGAGTATGTCAAACATAATAAAATTAGGCTGCACCAAGTGGCACGAGCTGCTGAATAGGCGTTCCTCCACTGACAGTATGTCGCACCTTCCCACTAACTGAAGCCACTCGATTTTAAGGGTGCTTTCTTATATTCTCTAGCTTCTAGAAGAAGAAGAAAAGAGAAGTCGAAGAAACTGGGATTACTCAAGAACGGGTCTCGAAGAATTTGGAGATATTTTGCACATGTCAAGCAAAATGAAGCTTCAAAGGGGCTTCGATCTTGAGTGATGAATGTATGTGTGTATGCGAAAAGGGAAATGCGTACACTCATGATGAACACGTGGCTTTTAGTCGTGGTTCGCATGCGCTGATCCCAAACCGCGGGAATCTCCAAGTTTCAAATACCTCTGAAGCTTGGAGAGCTTGGAGAACTTTGGAGAGCCTCCTAAAAGTCGGAGAGGATATAAGAACAGCTCCCGAACTTTTCGGAGAGTCTCCAACTTTTCCGAGAGGATTTAAGAGCGCACCCTAGACATCGCGTCACGTTAATTGTGGAGATTATTTCATTGGATCTGGATTGAGAGCAAGAGATTAATTTATACAAAAAAATGGACCAATGAACTACAAATGACGCTATAATGTCCACTAACACTGTCAATTACTAAACAATCAGCTCCTGCGATAACATTGCACGACACTAACCGACCCCTTAGCTCTCCGTTCGAGTTACTTCCTGCACGTCTGATGAGTCGTCCTTATATATACGGCGAAACGATCGTAGTGTGAAACTGCTGCTTTTTACCGCTGCTTGTTGTCCATCTATTTTGTCATATTTGAAGTACGGTGCTGTTTTCCTCAGGCTTTCGGTTTAGCATGAATATTGCTCGCATACCTTACACCTTTACTGATCTCCGCATTTTTTGAACCACACAAGTTGGGTGGAATGTTGCTTGGTGTCCTTGAATCGTGGTTTGACCGTATTGTTCAATGGTCCTGCTTCAATCACACAACAATTACAGTAATGTGATAGAACGGTAACAGAAGAACAAAAAAACATTTGTTATGGTTACAAGCCTCTTTTCTCTTCAGTGCAGGCAGGTTGCCTGAAAACTATTCAAGTGCAATGAAGCGTCCTTCATAATTTTAAAAAGCCTCTTTGGAAGTCAATAATTTTTTCGACATCACTAATAGAAG